CGCACGCACGCGCACGCGCGCACACACAGACAAACATCTTGACACCTAAAAGCTGTGGGCCCATGGTCCCGGCACACACGCACGCACGCCACCTGAACGCCGGCACCTCCCTTGCACATTCAGCCCACAACAACTCACGCACCCACCAAGACAAAAGCTATAAATCAGACCCGCACTGACTAAGCCCGAAGCCCCGAGAATTGAATAACATCACCATGAAGGAAGGTCCTTTAAGCGTCCTGTATAAAAGCTAGAAGCTATCAAGCACTGTACTGCTCGACAAAGCTATCCATGTATCTATTCAAACTTAGGGGCCGCTATCTGTCTCACAAGTAGCTGCGAAAGCAAAAAGACCAGTCCGTGGCTCACATTCCCAAAAAATTTCTCTCCCCTCTAAGGCTGCTCGGCCTCCACAGTCTGAGCTAACTCCTGCTCTTGGACATCATCGGCAGGGTCCTCGGCATTCTGTTGGACTCTTAGCTTCTCCTTGGGGGGATTGGGCCCCCTATCCTCGGCATGTAGATTTGTAGATGCTGCCGCCTCTGGGTACTAAAACCAGCGCAGTCACTGGAAGCGCGTTGAGCAGACTCTCTGCCTCAACCCTGCAAACCCCAAACCTGACTCTGCAAGCCCCCATATGGTCGTTTTGCGACCGATCGGCCAGCTCGTCCGGCGGCTGCACGCCGGGCTCTGCCTGACCCTCCTCCTGAAAGTCCAGAATGTCGGAAATCTTACCAGGTGGATTTAAAAGTGGAGCTCGGCGCGTGGGGCTCCTATTTCGGGGTTGTGAGCACAGGTTTAAGCCATCTTAGCTTCACCCTCAGCTGGCCTTCAACTTCAACTGCCACCCCGAATGCTTCGTGTCTCACGACAAAGTACGAATCTGCGCTGTCCTCGTGCCCATCTGTCGCACCAAGCTCGGTGACCTTGCTGGAAGTTATGCTACCATTGTGATGCTGTTAATGTTGCAGATGCTGACAAGCCCAGAATAAGATGCGGTTGGTGATGAACCCAGCATGTGCGGGTGCGGGTGGAGGGTGGAGGGCGAAGAGGCGGAGGGGGGTGGAGAGGGCAGGGTGAGGAGGTGAGAGTGAGGGGGTATTGGTGGTCGTGGTAGTCGTGGTCCCTGTCGTGCTCGTGGTCGCGGTGGTCGTAGGCGAGGTCCAGGGGTGTTGTCATGGTCGCGGTGGTGGTCGTGGTCGTGGTCATGGTCATGGTCGCTGTCGCGGTCGCGGTCAATGTCGAGGTCATGGTCGAGGTCGTTGTGGTGGTCGTCGTCGTGGAGGTGCTGGTGCTGTTGCTGGCGCGGCTTGTGATGCTAGTGCTGCTGGCTTAGATCCCGGCATCCGGCTGGTCATCCTGAACAAGCACCTGCACCAAAAAATACATACATATACATATCTGTATATGCATATGTGTGTATATATATATATTAATATATACATATATATATATATAACAGGTATACATGTGCAGCTGTGTGTCTCTCTGTTCTGTCAAACCATGACACCATACACTTCTATATAATTCTTCAGCACTCATGGCCTCGTTTCGTCGAGCCTCCTCCTTCGAGGGCAGGGGGCTGAAGTTGGGAGCTTGGATGCCGGTCTTTGGGCTTGCTGGTATGTAGATGCTGGGTCTTGGGTTTAAGACATACGTTTTGGTGTCAGCATCTCCAGCGTGGGATTAGATAGGCTTGGAGCTCAAGAGTTCCGGGAGGAGCCCATAAACGGGCTAGCAAACCGGAGAAAAATATCAGCCTTCTCGACATGCAAGAAAACTAGGCCGCAGGCTTCGGCATGAAGGCTTTTACGAGGCAGCATTTAGAATAAACATCGTATGGAAATTGAGGGGAAGGCGGTCGTGGGTGGTTGTCCATGCGCAGACACAAATTGCACCTGATACTTGCAATCCAGGACGCCCACGATGCGCGAAGGTCAAGAACACAAGATCCACAACCTGGCATGTGCCTGTTGACATCTCCTGCCGTCGTCAAATTATTTGCCCTGCCCGACCCAGCTCCTGCTCCATGGCGGCTGCCTCCTCCTCCGCCTCTGAAACTTGATCACTCCACCTTGTGCCATCCTGCCGTTTCGCTCAGAGCTCAGGTGGCGATGGCTACGCAATTTTCCACACAGCAAGCGAGTGAACCGACAGATCTGCCGCCCTCTTCCCTCGCCTGCCGAGAGGCGCTGCTCACCTCCACCTCACCGGGGCCGCAGGTTGTGAGAATGAAATTGTTGAGGCCCCAAGTAATTTTCGTGCTTCAACCGGGACTTGACAGGCAAGTTTAGCTCGCTGGAGTCAACCCAGGCTGCTTTGTGTCCGTGCGTCGCCAACTGGATTCGCAACAAAAGTGTTGGTTTCCTGCTTTGTCGGCTTGAGGCTTCAACCTTCTTCAAGGCCCGATGGCATCAAACATGTTCCACATTCTTGTAGTAACCAGTGGCATTGCCGAGGTTCGAAAGTTCAGGGAATCAAGCCCTATAGCTGGAAATGTTCGCGAAACCAGATAAGTGGCAAAGAACACCCTCATCTCAAGAGGAAGCCTCGTCGGCAAAGCTGCTGCCGCTGCCACTGGCAGCCTCAGGCTGATGATGCATTACCGGCTTATCGCTCAGGTCTCTATTTTTGGAGGGCCGTCGGTCGTCGGCATCGTCTGAGGACAACTGTCAGAAGATGCACGGGAGCCTAAACAGCTGTGCCATGACTCAGAAATTCCCAGATGACTGCAACAGATAGTTTGATAGGTAGATAGATAGATAGATAGATAGATAGACAGACAGTTAGATAGATAGATCTATATAGATAGGTATGTACGTATGTATGTATGCGTGCATGCATGCATGCATGCATGCATGCATGCATGTAGGTATGTATGTATGTATGTATGTTATACAGACACAGGTGCGTGTACCGTGCATGCGTACATGCAATGTATGCATCCCCATGCTCTCCAAGCTTTGCTATGTGCATGAAGATCGCATCCCGTGGAAGGCCTTGAGGCAACTCCCTAAACAAAATCGCCGCAGCCATCATCCCGCATGCAGTCGGGGCGAACCTCCCTAAAGCTAACAGGCGGAGATCTGACATGTTCCAACCCTTAAGCGGCACGCTCGCCGCAGCGACGAGAGGTCGAAGTGGTCCTGTGAGCTACTTCAGGTTTGGAACTTAGGGCTTCAGGCTTCAAGGCTCCTGGACATGCAACCCTGAACCTCCAAAGTCCGGGACAACGGGGCTGGACGATGGATGCATGACCGGGCCCTCAACGGACGAATCATTATGGAGGTCTTTCAGGAGAATTGTGTTGCAAGCGTGCTCGTGCTATGACGTAGGTGAATCACTTCAGTTTGACACTCGGCCTGCCACGTGAAGCTCTCGCAGCCGTCAACTCCCAGACAAGCGCATGCAACCCAGCAGCCTAAAAATTCCCAAACCTTGAATGTCGCTCGAACGAACCGCACGGCACCAGTCATGGGAAAAGTTCCCATTCTCGGCAATGGCGAGGCGTGTCATCATCTGCGCCACAGAAATCACATGGAGAAACGGTGCTGGGCTGGGCTGTCAAACAATATTTCCGACAAATATGCGACATCTATCGAGTCCCCACTCCGAAACCGTGACAACGACCCCGGTCTCTAGTAGTTGAGGAACCTCATCTGCCGGGTTTTCGTTATTTATATGGTGGCGGACTGCCGTGATTTAGAGCTACACCGATCCGAATGCGATATCAAGTGTCACACTAAACTAATTATTGAATCTTCCTGGCCTCTTGCCGGTCATACATGTCCAGCTCTGCCTGGCAATGAGACTGTTTTAGGATAATAAATGCCTGCCGTAGCTCGAGCAGTAACTCAAGCAAATGCGCATATTCTTCACTTTGAATGCGAACCGGGGGGTGCACAGGTTGCGAGGCAACCATTTCTGGTCGAAAAGCCCTAAATTAGGTCCAACCTGCCGGCCCACCTCTTCATCAGAGCTGATGTCTGCCCAGCGGCGGTCATGATGTCTGCACCGGCCCGAGACATAAAGACCCAAGCATTACGACTTGAAGGGGGAGCTTGCCCGATTCTTTAGAGCTTCAGTTTGAGAGCAAGAGACCAGTGCTTCATACTGGGTTTCAAAGCTTCGAAGGACATGCCGGAAGAACTTCACGCTGCGATCCCTGCGCACCCGGAGCTGCTCCAGGCGCTCATATGCTAAAACCATCAATAGCTCGCCAAGGTCCGTGTGTGCATCGTTGCCTGCCGTTGTCTGCCATCGCTCCCCACGCCCAGTGGAGGGACGGAAGTACGGCTCAATCGAATTTCAGACCGACATAGAATCTCAACGAAAAGCTGTCTACTATCCCTGCATTCTGAGTCAGCCGCTTGCCAAAAACTGTTCAGCTCCCCTAAAAAACCATACAAGACAGTTTCCTAATCTCGTTTACCAAGGCTTCTGACGGTGCCGTCGACACCGCCAGCTGAGCCTGGAGGCGTTCCGTTCCGGCGTCGCACTCTGCGCAAATCCCACATCCAAATCCCACCCAAACTCTCAACATCCCGGAAAACTACCGCAGCCAAGGCTTGAATGAGGCTGAGGTGGCTCATTGGGAGAGACGGTCGCAGTTGTCCCGTCCAACAGAGGAGACCCCTCTGCCAATCAGACTGCAATGGAGCATTCCATGAACCCGGAAACTGTCCATGCCCTGTTGCACTTGGAGGTGCAGGAGCCGGGTGCACTGGCACAACCTCTAGCATGCTTTGGTAATTGGCTGCGACTGGCCTGGCAAGGCTTAGTGACACTTAGCGACAACATTAGGGGCTTCCGCCCCCCCGTCCTCGGCCTGGCTCTTGCTGGAAACTTCCTGGAGAAGTGAGGCTTAGGGCTTGGGTGTTTGGGCTTTGGAAGTAGATGTTCTCCGTATGTAGGGGTGTATGAGCCGTTGAGAAAGGCCAACTCTGCAAACCCTCCGCCCAGAACCCAAGAATGTTAGGAATCGAGGTGGCCATGGGCTCGGCCGGCTGCCAGTGAAACACCTTGGGCATGTCAGCCCTCCGCGAAAAAACATGTTTTACCGTCCTATGCCTTGGTCCATCTTGGGCCCAAATTGCAAGCCTAGCTCAGGTAAGCTTAGGAAAGCTTAGGTAAGCTTGGCTTCTGGTCCTCGAGGCGGTTCTGGAAGCGGACGCGTCGATCTCAGCCGCCAACACAAAGACTGGACCTACCTTGTGGGCTGAGCATTGGCTGAGCATGGACGACAAGGTCCTTGCTGAATACAACAGCGCAAGCATTCCCCACCAACGGTCCACAAACCATCAGGAGAACCTGTCCGAATGCGCACAGCACAGATGACACGGTGTGAAAACCTTCGGCTGGCTGACGAGTTTCGCACTGCGTCCTGGTAGGCTGGTCTCAGATCCTTCAGGACATGGCACGACTTGCGGAGAAGGGTTGCTGATAGCTCTCGGACTCAGGACTAGCATCGATTGATTCTGTTCCTAGAAGATGTTGTGAAGTTGTTCCACCTCCCTGAAACTGGTACCTGCCTCTAACTCCAAGTGCGCAACTTTCAGCGCCCGTGCTAGGGCAGTCGCGGCCTTCCGCAGCGAGGCTTTCGGCAAATCTACACATGTTCGAATTCAGCCCAGGATGCGACATGATTCACTGAATCCTACGTTTGTCAACTCTTCCAGTAAGTTGAAGCCATGCCATTGATCCTGCGAGAAACCCGGAACACGAATGTAGATTCCACTAGGTTCTCATACTTGACATGGTCTGTGTCTAATGAACTTTCTGCATAATATCAATATACAATTATCCAAGCAAACCACCCATAAGGCACATATCTATCTATTTACATATCTATCGATATATCTATCCAATACATTGCAGTACCTTATCATGCAGTACACTGCACTACATTACATTGCAGTACATTCCTTACATAGGCGCAAATGGAGTATCAAGTACACGTAGTGTGATACTGTACGTTGCAAACAATTCAAAAACAGAGTAGTGCATTGTGTGTGGTGTGTGTGGTGTGTGTGGTGTGTGTGGTGTGTGTGGTGTGTGTGGTGTGAATGTGGTTTGTGTGTGGGTGTGTGTGTGGGTGGGTGTGTGTGTGTGTGTGGGTGTGTGTGTGGGTGGGTGTGTGTGTGTGGGTGGGTGTGTGTGTGTGTGGGTGTGTGTGTGTGGGTGTGTGTGGGTGGGTGTG